AGATGTGAAAAACATTATCATTGAAATCTACCTGATGACTTTATATCCATGCTCAGATGCCAAGGAGCTTAGAAAGTAACCGACTGTGACTAGCAATAATCAGATATATAGAGATTAGATACGCATGTGCATCTTAGTGTCAGTTGTATTAGAGTGAATTTTTCTGTATGAAACTGTATTTTAATAATGAAATGGAGATCTTTTTTAAAGTTTAAAACCTCATTTAATTTTATGTCTTATAGGGTTTATACTGAGTGCAATATTGTGTAACTGTATTAATTCAACTGTAAACCTAAAAATTTGCAGCCAATTTTGAAAGAGATGCATCTTAGCTCTGGAAATTGTTATTGAAAATGTCAATGCTGTTGTAATACCGGCTCACATGGCTTGCCCCTGTTATCTCCTTAACCTTCTTCCTGATGGCTGTGGCCTGTATGGGCTCAGTTTGACCCAGAATGAACTCCACATCTCATCCCCACATGACTAGCAGACTTTGGAGACTTGGGACATTGCTTAATGTTGGATGGATGAGGCTTTCGGGATATTGACACCGGTGTTGAGTGTAGGAAGGATGTGAACTTGTGGGCTCCACAGGAGTGAAGTTACAGGCTATATTCTGACAGCAGTAGAATCATGGGGTGACATTCCAGTCCCAGGTCCTCAAGACTGCCTGTGTCTGCAGACAGGATTTAAACAGGTCAGTTGTCATGAGGCGTAGGGAGACCCTCACCTAGTCTGACTGCCCTTATGAGAAGAGGTCAGAACACAGACACACACAGAGGGACGGCCTGTGAGGACACAGGGAGGAGAAGGCGGCTACAAGCCAGGGAGGCCCCACGGACCCGCCCCGCGGACCCCTCCACCTGGGACTCCTGCCTCCAGGACCTGAGAAAATAAACATTTGCTCTGGAGGCTGTGCAGTCCGTGTCCTCTGTCACTTTGGCACGAGGTCACGAGAGGCTCATGCTGCTGGCCTACCACAGCCGCCGTGGGAGGCTCTGTCTGGCCAGCCTGAGGCCCCTCTAGGCCTCATCCCTGCTCCCCAGCCTGACCAGGGCAGCAGGACAGCCTCTAGCTGGGAAGAAAGTGTCTGAGGGGAGAGGCCCAGGCTCTGGGTGGTTCGGGGCGCAGGGCTGGTACTCAGTAGGGAGGGGCCCACCGAGGGAGGCCTGGGAGGACACAGGACAGGAGGTAGAGGGGCCTGCGTGGCTCACTGGTCTACCTAACTGTGCCTTGTTCCCGGATGCTAAGAACTGACAGAGCTGGTCCACACAGGAAGAGCACAGTGAGGTACAGAATACAGAAAACACATTTTATTGTCAAAAACCTCCAAACAACAACAAACCAGAAAGAGACCTGAAGACATCAAAGGTCTCCAGATTAGAAGAAAGCAGCTGCCAAAGCGACTCCTGGGTTCCGAGCACTTCCTGCGAGTCTGTGGGGGCAGGCGCCCACTTTTCCTTCCCCCTTTCCTTTGCCTTCCTGTCTGGAGACTCTGACTTCGCATTGGCTTGAGAGATGCTGGAGAACCAGACATGAGGCCTCTGCAGTGACCACACCTGGCCCGGTGCCCTGGGCTGGACAGACACGGGGCCTCTGCGGTGACCACACCTGGCCCGGTGCCCTGGGCTGAACTGACATGGGGCCTCTGCGGTGACCACACCTGGCCCGGTGCCCTGGGCTGGACTGACATGGGGTCTCTGCAGTGACCACACCTGGCCCGGTGCCCTGGGCTAGACTAAGAGAGAGGCCCAGGCTCTGGGTGGTTCGGGGCGCAGTACTGGTACTCAGTAGGGAGGAGCCCACCGAGGGAGGCCTGGGAGGACACAGGACAGGAGGTAGAGGGGCCTGCGTGGCTCACTGGTCTACCTAACTGTGCCTTGTTCCCGGATGCTAAGAACTGACAGAGCTGGTCCACACAGGAAGAGCACAGTGAGGTACAGAATACAGAAAACACATTTTATTGTCAAAAACCTCCAAACAACAAAAAACCAGAGAGAGACCTGAAGACATCAAAGGTCTCCAGATTAAGAAGAAAGCAGCTGCCAAAGCGACTCCTGGGTTCCGAGCACTTCCTGCGAGTCCGTGGGGGCAGGCGCTCACTTTTCCTTCCCCCTTTCCTTTGCCTTCCTGTCTGGAGACTCTGACTTTGCATTGGCTTGAGAGATGCTGGAGAACCAGACATGAGGCCTCTGCAGTGACCACACCTGGCTCGGTGTCCCGGGCTGGACTGACATGGGGTCTCTGCAGTGACCACACCTGGCCCGGTGCCCTGGGCTGGACTGACATGGGACCTCTGCAGTGACCACACCTGGCCTGGTGCCCTGGGCTAGACTGACATGGGACCTCTGCAGTGACCACACCTGGCCCGATGCCCTAGTCTGGACTGACTCCCTACACGTCTATTCCAGTTGGTACTTGCTGCTGTCAGAGTCCTGGCTGGACGCCCCGCCTGCCGTCCTGCATCTCCTCTCCCTCCCGTGGCTCTTGTGTCCCTTCTTCTGGCCCGGCTGGGACCTGCTCATCAGGCCCGTGTCTAGGAGGTCCTTGCTGGTTACCCAGGCCCTGCTCAGAGGCCTCTGCCCTGCACTTATCAGAGTTCCACAGAGACCATGCAGCCCATGCCTTCCTCTGAGTGTCTCCTTGGAGTGTAGCCGGGACCTCCAGGGAGGTGGCAGTGTCCTGGTCTCAAGGCTGTGGGTCAGTGGTGTCTGTGGGTGTATTCCTTGCCTGCGAATCCAGCATGTTGAACAGGTGGCAGGACAGGGGGCCGACACCAGAGCCCCTTCAGGAGGCTCTGTCTCTAGAGCCCAGAGTTCACAAAGTGCCAGGAAGGATCCTGGCTGGGCACGGGTGGGGTGAAGGTCCTTGGAGTGACCTTCTTGGAGCTCCCTTTGAGCCCTTGTGGCCCTGGTCTTCCTAGCCTTGGTGGCAGATGCCTCTTCCCAAGGGTCTGAAAATGCTCCTCCTCTGAGGAAACTCTGTGAGAGGACGGTGTGGACAGGGCCGGCTCCAAGGCTGGTCCCTGCCCAGCTGGGCACCTGTATCTTCTCCAGTGAATGCCCTGCTCTCCTAATCATCTGGACATTCTGCTGAGGAAATGTGTGGCTCTTCTGGCCTTATCCAGCGTCTTGGCTGCTACTGTGGTGGTGGTGGCTTAAATCCTGGTGTCTGTGGTCTGGGGCAGAGCCTGCTGTCCACACAGCCCTCCAAAGGGGCAGAATGGAGTGTGGAAGGGTCTTAGGGTCAGAAGGCAGTGCAGAGAGTGGACAGTGTGGCCTGAGGGCCGTGTTGCTCTGTGGGATGAATGGAATCTGGCCTGCCCCTCATAGGAGGCAGCCTAGGACCCCTGCCCGATCATGTTCTTGTAGTCAGGGTAGGCCGTCTGCTTCAGCCCCATCAAGTAGGAGAAGATCCACTTCACCTGTAGGATGGGGTGGGTAAGACAGAGATCAGACCCACACTCAGGGCCCCTCTGTCTTGTGGGTGAATCAAGGGCAGTTCCCTCTAGAAAAGTGGGTGATCCAGGCAAGCATCCACTGCCAAGGTCCCTCCAGCCATGTGGGAGTCTGGGGAACTGTGTGGGGACTAGAGCGAGATAAAGTACTAGGGAACATTGTGTGGCCTATGTGGGATAGAGTGGGGATAGCATGGGACCAGGGTGAGGACACAGTGTGGGATGGCTGTGAGGACAATGTGGGCACTTAACAGGGACAGTCATAGTGTCTTGACAGAATGGGGGTAGGCAAGGAACAGTGTGGGGCAGTGTGGGAACAGCCTGGGATAAGGTACATCAGGAGGTACGTGGTACACGTAGGCGTAGCGTGGGTTGGAGTGAGGACAGCATGGGATACACAGTGGGGACAGCGAGGGACCCACGAGGTGTAGCACAGGACACTGTGGGACAGCGCGAGCCTGTGGGGATGGTGGAGGGATGGAATGCGGTGCACACTGTGGTGCCGCAGAGGAAGTGTGTGAAGACCGTGTGTGGGGCTGTGTGTGAACAGAGTGGGGACAACTCAGAGGGCAGCACTTGCAGGGCAGGGATAGAACGGGAACAGTGGTGTAGGGAGAGCAGGGTAGACACCATGGGGCAGAAAGTTTCACTGTGGAAGGTGGAATATGGACAGTGTGGGGACAGAGTCAAAACAGCATGAAGACAGGGTAAACTGTGGGGCCGGCGTGGGGACATGTGGGGACGATACTCACGGGCCTGTACCAGGTCAGCTTGGAGTCAATGTGGGGACAGAGTAAGGACAGTTTGGGGACAGTATGGACATCTTGGGGACAGTGAGGGAACTTGCTGACCTTGAAGAGAGTGACGGTGGCGCTGTAGCACACGCTGAGAAGGAAGAGGGTGATGAAGATGGTGATGGTCGTCCAGAGCCCGTCCAGCTCCCCGTCCTGGGCCTCGGCACAGGTCTCATCCAGTACCATCTCTGGACAGAGAGGGGGTGGTCAGTGCTTGTCCCACCAAGGTGGGGCTGGAGATGACTCTCTGTGTGGTGGGGTGGGGCAACTGGGAGACACAGGAGAAAGGGACAGCTGGACTGGACTTGCAGACCCATCCTGGTCTCCATTCTACCCTCTCTGGCCCAGCAGTCTCAGATCCTCAGTTGCCCCGGTTTGGTCCCTGGGCTCAGCCAGAAACGCTGGACTTGGTGGTGGCTTAGGCTGTGCAGGAGCCCTTCCTGTCTACCCCTCCCCTCAGCGCCGGGGTTGACTGGACTGATTCAGAGACTGTGACCCCTGTAGGCAGTGGCTGTGCAGCCTTCCTGACCCTCTGCCTGTCCCCTGGTGACCAAGCCCAGAGAACCAGAGTGATGACAGGGTCTGCACTTGGGCTTCATGGAAGGTCCACACTGGGAAGTGAGTCAGGCCACACAGCTGAGGAGTGCCAACTGTGTGGGGCAAGAGCATTGGCCTCAGAGTCCAGGGACAGATTGGGCCAGAGGGGACTTTGGGAAGGGGTGCAGACACCCTCAGAAAAGGACAGTTGTGTGTATCTCAGTTGGCCCACTTGTGGATGCTCAGGAGAGTCATGAGAGAGGCCTGATACCTTGCTGGGTCTGGGTGCTGTGCAGGGTGCCTATGTGAGGCCCCAGTCTGTTAGGTATGTACCTGTGTACTATGTGTGTGTGTGTGTGTGTGTGTGTGTGTGTGTGTGCCACATGTGCCTTGTGGGCTGGGTGACAGTCAGCTGGTTGATTCTAATGTGTCTGGGTTCAGCATCCACAAGGGTATCAGGTGATCCTTCCCCTGGGGCTGTGAGGGCCACCTGCTTCAGCACAATTGCAGACCTAGCCCTTGCAAAGCTTCTTGGATTGATGTAGGAACAGAAAGTGTCTGTCTGTGCCTGTGACCTTGCATGACTCTGCAATGCACTCTGAGAGATCCTCCATGGGTGGGGGAACAAGGACACACCAAGAGAGGTAAGGTTCGTGTGTTTCTTTCTTTGGAGGGTTTCCTAGGTACATGTCTCTGCCCGGAGCAGAGGAACTGCTGGTTAGAGGGAGAGCAAAGGAGAAGGACTGTCTAGGGATAAACCCTACTCTCCAACGAGAGATGAGTTCCATCCAGGCCCAGCAGTCTCAAGAGCACTGGATCTGGAGGTGCAGGTTGATGCTATTCTCATGTTAATGAGAACTCAGGTCTTGGACCCTGGCCAGACTCCGCAGCTTATGACCTAGTCTGTACACCTTAGAAAGAACCAGGACAGTCTTGCAGGGTTCCAGGGCAATGCTGGGTGCTTTATTTACACAGGGAAGGAGTGGAGGGGGTGTCAGTGTCCCTTAGGACCTGAGGTCTCGTCGAGTGCTGGGCTCATTTACCCGGAGACTTGGAGATGGTCTTCTGTGTGATATGGTTGTGCAGAGCCTCGTGCATCACAGTGCAGGTGAAGATGTTCCCATCTTCCCAATCATTCCTGCTCACAGTCAGTTTGCTGTAGAGGAAGTAGGTCTTGTCCGAGTCCAGGACAGGCGGGGTGTTCTTGAAGTCCTGCTCCTGCTGCCCGTCCCTCTGCCACTCCACGGCCATGTCTGCGGGGTAGAAGCCTAGGATCATGCAGGTTAAACTGACCTTGCTGTTGACCATCTGCTCCTTTGGTGGGGGCATGGTGTAAACCTGTGGCACCTGGGCTTGCCCTGTGGGTACAAAGGTCAACACAGAGGTCACTGACAGAAGTCTGTTCAGGCCACATTCAGTGCACCTGCCTTCTGCAGGCCCTATATTGCCCAACTGGAGCTCACACCTTTGACTCTGGAGATGGTTCTCTCGATGGGAGCCGGGAGGTTATTGCTGTTGACCCTGCACTTGAACTCCTTGCCCTTCAGCCAGTGCTGGTGCTCTATGGGGAGGACGCTGACCACACGGAACGTGCTATTCCTCTGTTCCTCCCGGGGCTGTGTCTGAGCCGTATGCACCTCCACATCATCCACAAACCAGCTGAACTCGACCTCGGGGTCATCCTGGCTCATGTCCACCACCACACACGTGACCTTAGGGGTCAGGGAGATCATGAGTACGTCCTTGGGCTTCGGGGGGAAGATGAAGACGGACGGTCCCCCCAGGAGATCTGGAGATGGTGAGAGTTGGAGATGGGTCAGCACCTGGGTTATCATGCAATACAGGGTTACATAGGCTACTTGTCCCTACCCTGGACTGGAGAGCAAGACCTGGTGACTCACCTGTACTTGTGCACGTACTGGACGAGGAGTGGCTGGGCACTGTAGAGAGAGGGCTATGTGTTACTGGGGTCTGGGGCAGCAAGTCAGGGGAGTTGAGCCCTGATATGGGCTCAGGTCAGTCCTGGAAGTGATCCTTGACAGGTTGACACTTGCATCTACCTCTGTGTGTCCAGGATGCAGGATATGGCCATCTAGCCCAGAAGACCACTCCCTGAGTGGGAGGGCCATGAGCAGATGTCTCTAGGTGGTAAACAGTTGAGACCCCTTGCTTCTTGGGCTGAGGTCTTTCCTGGTAAGGGTTGCCAAACCTGGTTTGTCTAGGCAGGAGGTTGACCCCAGTCTGAACTCCAGTGGACCCCTCCCTCCCTTGCCCATTTTCTTACCAAGTTTCTTGTCCACCTTGGTGTTGCTGGGTGGGTGGGCTACATTGCAGGTGACAGGCTGGGTGCACCAGGTGCTGCTAGGTATGGTCACTGAGCTGGTGAGGGTGTAGAGTCCGGACTGCAGGACAGCTGGGTAGGTATGCACACCACTGGACAGGGCTCCAGAGTTCCAGGACACTGTCACTGGCTCGGGGAAGTAGCCCTTTACTAGGCATCCCAGGGTCACCGTGGAGCTAGAAGTGTCCCCACAGCTGGGGGTCAGAGTGAAGATGGATGGGGCCATGGTGCTGGCTGCAAGAGAGGGCGGTGGCGTGAGTATGCTGTTAGACATGTCAGGCCTCTGGAAGGTTTGTGTCCTCAGTCCTGCCCAGGGTCCCGAACCTCTGCATGGCTCAGGCAATGTCTAGCAACTGGACTGGTAGATTTCAAGTTCTTACCTGGATGGCTTCTCCACCCTAGGATCACCAGGCTTGGTCAGACCTGTGGCACACTGAGCCCAGCTTCATCCCTAGTGCACTTCTGGAAAACTGCCAGACCAGTTGCCCCCTGTGGCTATCTGTGTCCTGCTCCGTGTTGTCTTGTGCTACATACATCATGTAGGGCAGCACTCAGTGACAAGCTGCACTCAGTGCAGCCTGGGGGCCTGCAGCTCCCTCCTGGCTCTGCTTGTGAAGCTGTGTTTGATCTCACTGACACCTGTTTGATCTCACTGCCACTTGTCCCTGCCCTAGCATGTTGGTGGTTGACTGATGGCCCCTTTCCTTGTGTCCCCTGAGCTTTCCAGTCTCAGAGCCCTGTAGACTGTGTCCTCTCAAGTTGGCTCTGAGCCAAGGAGGGTCAACACTCTGCACACCTGAGTTTGGACCCACATCCTGCCCAGATACAACCCTCTAGGAGTCCCTTCCTCGACCTACCCCCTCTCAAGCCAGTCCAGGCTCCTAAATCCTCGCCCTGGGTCACTACCCTGGACCTTAGTTCCCCTTTTTCCTCAGATCTTCCTGCTGCCTCCTAGTTTACCATCAACTCCCCCAGCACATACATTCCTGGCGTGGGCAGCCCTGGCCTGTCCTGATCTGGCTGGCTACCAACCTGCTCCTCTGCAGTACAGTCAGCCCTGTGAGGTCCCGGTGGATCACAACCCTGGCTCTCCACCCCCTCCTATCATGTTCTTCACATTGGCCTGGGTCCTCCTTTCCTGGCATGCTCCTTATGAGGCCAGGCCCCAGAAAAGTTCTTTTCCTTCCCATAACCACGGGCCCTTGAGATGGGAGTGTGCGTCCGTTCTTTAGGAAGCTGGCCAACTACCTTCCTCCCTTGTCCCTTCTAATCCTGGTTTACCCTTTAGCTCTAGGGCCTGTTGGTCTCCTCCTGAGCACCCAATCCTCAGGTCCTCATCAGTACCCTCTTCTTCTGTGGTTGACTCTGTGTACCCCACACTGCTGTAGCAATTTAGCTTTCTGCCCTATGTTCTCATAAACTCAGGATCATAGCTAGGGCCTCTGTCACCAGAACTGTAACCTATGTGGTTCCTAAAGGAGTGTCACCCTGGGGTCCTTCCCTGTCCAGGTCCCTGCTCAGTCAGAGGCCCCCAGGACTGCTTCTCTCTGCAGACACGCTGCCCTTCTGCCTGAGTTCAGGCAGAGCCCTGAGCCCTTCCCCTTTGACTTTTCCTCTGCTTCCCTTCTCTTTCTGTTCCTCTTTCCTTTCCCTGTCCAGCTTGCACACAGCCCTCTGCCTTCCCCCAGCCTTCACTCTTGTCCCTGCCAGTTTTGTACAGGGAGGAACAGTGTCTCTCCTTGAGCCTCCAGGAGACTCCCTCTCCCAGGAGCACTTCCCAGCAGAGTATCTCACTGATCTCTGACCTCCCAGGTGAACTCCTGGACCTGTGGGTCCATACTCTCCACCTCTCTCACTGCTCCCAGCTTGGAAGCTTCTAGTGGCCCCCTGCTGCTGTAGGGAAGCTAGGACGGCAAGGGTATGAGGTGACAAGGCTCCCTGAACCTCTGAGACTGTGCCTAGCCCTCTCCATCCCCTTCTCTGAGCCCTTAGCTGGCACTGCTGATCATTGTCCAGGACTCCCTCAGCTCTGCCTCTAAGTCTTGAGCCTCTCAGATTGCCCCTGTCAGATCTGGCCCGCTTTCCTACCGCTTCTTGCCCACCTGCCCCCTGCCTGCCCAATCCTCAGCCCAGATCGCTCCCAGTGCTGGGTTTGCTTCTTCAGGCCCAGAGCGCCCATCCTCTCCCAGCAGTTCCCTACCCTGCCCTCTGCCCTCCCTGTGAGCTCCTGGAGTCAGTGACCCTGGTACACTACTTCTTCTTTCTCCAGTTCTGGAAGCTTCCTTGTACCACTGGGCTGCCTTTGCTCTCCTTGGTCAGCTGACCTGGGTCCACCAGCCAACGGATGCTCAGCCCCTTCCCCACCATCAAAGCAGATATCTGGATCGGGCCCAGCCCTGACCTTGCTGTTCTGTCCGCTCTCCCTCCCAGTGTGAGGTCAGAGCAGCTTACCCTCCCTTCTGCCACTGGGCACACCACGCTCATCATCTGGCCTCAGCCCTGTTCCTCACACCCCTGACTCTGGTGCCCAGTAGTGTCAGCTCCCAGGCTGGCTCATATGGTTCCTGCCATGGTGACCTGATACCTCACCTGCCCTTGAAGCACACAGAAGCCCTTGCTGGTCACAGCTGTCCTACCCCTTCTGCCCCGCTACCTTGAGTTCTGGCTGCCCTAGTGGCCAGATCCTGGACAGGATAACGCAGATATCTCTTGGCTCTCATCCCTCCTGACCTGAGCTCCCAGAGCCCTCAGGTGTCCTTGCTGTGGGCATCCACTCAGCTCCTGGTAGGGAGCTTTGGGGTGTCCTGGACCCCCACTCACCTTACTTTCTCTAGTGCTCCTGTAGCTGCTTGATCTGGTCTCTTCTCTCACCTGTCCCAGCTCATCTGTAGCTCCAGGGCCTGCTCCTCCGCACACCCAGAAGTCCCAGACCTCCAGAACCTGCTAGACCCCTTCTCTCACTGAACAACCAGTCCCAGTGCCCCAGGAGCTTCTGGGATGGATCCTCCACACCCTCACGAGCCCCCACTCCAAAATAGCTTCTCAGCCTGGTCTCCCCCTCCCCCTGTCCCCGACCCCACCACCACACACTTGACAGCCTAAGTTCCCCAGGAGCTGCTGGAACTTGTCTTCCACATCCCAGCAGCCCTAGCTCCCTAGAAGCCTCTGGAACTGGACCCCTACACTCCCACCACCCCCCACTCCAGAGTAGCTTCTCATCCTGGTCTCCCCCTCCCTCGTTCCCCACCCCACCACCACACACTTGACAGCCTAAGTTCCCCAGTAGTAGCTGGAACTTGTCCTCCACATCCCAGCAGCCCTAGCTCCCTAGTAGCCTCTGGAACTGGACCCCTACACTCCCACCAGCCCCCAGCTCCCCAGTAGCTACTGGAACTGGTCCCCCACACTCCCATCAGCCCCCAGCTGTCCAGTAGCTGCTGGAACTGATCCCAAACACTCCCATCAGCCCCCAGCTCCCCAGCAGCTACTGGAACTGGTTCCCCACACTCCCACCAGCCCCCAGCTCCCCAGTAGCTACTGGAACTGGTCCCCCATACTCCTACCAGCCTCCAGCTGCCCAGTAGCTGCTGGAACTGGTTCCCCACACTCCCACCAGCCCCCAGCTGCCCAGTAGCCACTGACCTGTTCCCCACACTCCCGCCAGCCCCCAGCTGCCCAGTAGCTACTGGAATTAGACCCCCACACTCCCACCAGCCCCCAGCTTCCCAGTAGCTACTGGAATTGGACCCCCACACTCCCACCAGCGCCCAGCTGCCCAGTAGCTACTGGAATTGGACCCCCACACTCCCACCAGCCCCCAGCTGCCCAGTAGCTACTGGAACTGGTCCCCCACACTCCTACCAGCCTCCAGCTGCCCAGTAGCTGCTGGAACTGGTTCCCCCCACTCCCACCAGCCCCCAGCTCCCCAGTAGCTACTGGTACTGGTCCCCCATACTCCTACCAGCCTCCAGCTGCCCAGTAGCTGCTGGAACTGGTTCCCCCCACTCCCACCAGCCCCCAGCTCCCCAGTAGCTACTGGTACTGGTCCCCCATACTCCTACCAGCCTCCAGCTGCCCAGTAGCTGCTGGAACTGGTTCCCCCCACTCCCACCAGCCCCCAGCTCCCCAGTAGCCACTGACCTGTTCCCCCCACTCCCGCCAGCCCCCAGCTGCCCAGTAGCTACTGGAACTGGTCCCCCACACTCCTACCAGCCCCCAGCTGTCCAGTAGCTGCTGGAACTGGTCCCCCACACTCCCACCAGCCCCCAGCTTCCCAGTAGCTACTGGAACTGGTCCCCCACACTCCTACCAGCCCCCAGCTGTCCAGTAGCTGCTGGAACTGGTCCCCCACACTCCCACCAGCCCCCAGCTGCCCAGTAGCTGCTGGAACTGGTCCCCCACACTCCCACCAGCCCCCAGCTGTCCAGTAGCTGCTGGAACTGGTCCCCCACACTCCTACCAGCCCCCAGCTGTCCAGTAGCTGCTGGAACTGGTCCCTCACACTCTCACCAGCCCCCAGCTCCCCAGTAGCTGCTGGAATAGAACCCCCATACTCCCACCAGCTCCCAGCTCCCAAGTAGCTACTGGAACTGGTCCCCCACACTCCCACCAGCTCCCAGCTGCCCAGTAGCTGCTGAAACTGGTCCCCCACACTCCCACCAGCCTCCAGCTCCCCAGTAGCTACTGGAACTGGTCCCCCACACTCCCACCAGCCTCCAGCTCCCCAGTAGCTACTGGAGCTGGTCTCCCACACTCCCATCATCCCCCAGCTGCCTAGTAGGTGCAGACCTGGTCCCCACACTCCTACCAGCCCCCAGTTCCCACACCCCTAACTGGTACCCAGCAATGTCAGCTCTCAGAATGGCTACTATGGCTCCTAGCAGTGTACAGCCCTACCATGGTGACTTGAGATGCTGTCTGCTCAGACCTCTGTCTTCTGCCCTTGGACAGAGGCCCTTGTACACATCTGTCCTAGCAGCTCTGCTGGCCTGGTCAGCATGCCTTGGATGCTTTGTCCCTCTCTTCTCTCCTCTGCTGCCAGTTCAGAAGGGGGTCTGACCTGAGCTCCCAGAGCCTTCAGCTGTCTCTTCTGTGGGCATCTTCTTAGCTCTTGGCAGGGCACATGATGCTTAAGCTTGGCCCCTTTGTCTCCTGAGCACCTACTGCTGTCCTGAGTCCCCCTTTACCTCATCTTCCCCAGCTCCTCTGTACCTGCTTGGCCTTGCCCAGCACAG